CTCATCTCGGTCTCCTCCAGCCTCCATCAACCTCACATCAGAAGAGAAGGTTCCTCTTGCTGCTCCGAAGCGGGACTTCGAGTAACCTTTCAAGTTCAGCTTCTCGGCGAGCGCTCTTCATAAGAGTGCGGTCGCAACCGTTCATAATAGCACGGCTCGGTCGCTGAAACGCAGTGAGAGGTTCTTCCTGGAAAAGCATGCTGACTATGTCCAGGCCCTAATAAATCAACTGGCCGACCTGCATTTTACGGCTTGTTGTACTGGGCCTTGGTGAGCAAGGAGCTCACCGCGAGGAAGATTAGCTTGTCGCGGGAGCGTGAATCCACTAAAACCATAGAAGTGCTAACGGTTGAGGTAGACAAGCTGAAAAAGGAGAAGGTCGTGGAGGAGAAGTAGCGTACTGCACTAAAGAACCACCTGAGCCGAGCACGTCTGGCTGTAAAGAACGCTGAGGTTCAGACGAAAAATTAGATGGATCTGCGACTGAAGGCGGAGGTAGACTTGGCAGAGAAGGAGGTTGAGTACCAGAAGAAATGATCGACTTATACCGACTTGGAAAACGTGATCAAGGTGATGCTAGAATTCAATTAGGTGGTGAAGGCATTGGCCAATAAAGGCTTCGACTTTGCCACTAACACTATGAGGAAGCTGGCACCTTATCTGGATCTCACTTCAGTATACCAGGACTACGAGGCCGAGCTGGAGGTGGAAGACGATGAGGACGTTTAGGTTGACTTTGTTGAAGGCCAAGATGACCCGAACACAGAGCCTGAAGTGCCCCAATTGAATGCTTCTGATACTCCTTTTGACATCTCTTTTTCTTTTTGCAAAGTCCTGTCGAGTCGGAGCGATTGTGCTTCGGCTCAGTTTTGTAATGGCCGAGATACATACGCCTCGACCTCATTTTAAAAGTTAATTGAATTTCCAAGGTTGTTTTGTTTACTTCTGCTCACCATCATTTTAACTAAATTGCCTTGTTTGTAGTTAGTGCGTGAAAAAGAAACTTTTTTTTATGAGCAACTAATTAATGAGGGGAGTATGATCCAAGTCAATCAGTGAATCATTCTCACTTCGAAGTCTAATATCATTGCTCGACCCCATTTAAGTTTAGCTCAGTCAGACGAGGTAGACTAAGATCAAAACAGGTCAGCGTTTATTAATAATGCACACAACCTAGTTACACTTAGATTGTTTTACATTTATTGATAATAAATGTGCAAATGCTGAGTATTCCAAGGGTGAGGTAACTTGTTGCCGTTCAAGTCAGCGATGATGTATGTTTCGGGCCGAACTACCTCACAAACCTTGTATGGGCCTGCCCAGTTCTGCTCTAGTGCTCCAACGTGGGTTAGGACCTTTTCTAGGACGAGGTCTCCTAGTTTGAATGCTCGCAGCTTGACCTTAACATTATAATACTAAGCCATTCAATTTTGGTATTCTGCTCGGCGAAGCAGAGCCTGAGTGTGTTTCTCCTCCAGGAGGTCCAGGTTGAGCAGGAGTGCCTCGTCAGTCGCCATATGGTCGAAATTCTCTACCCTTAACGAGGTAGGCCAATCTCCACTGGCATGATTGCTTTTGAGCCGAACGCAAGGCTAAATGGAGTCTCTATAGTTGAGCCTCTGGTCGTGGTTCGGTATGACCAAAGGACTTCTGGAAGCTCCTCGACCCAACGACCCTTCAACGCCTCAAGCTTCGTCTTAAGTCCTCGCTTTATAATCTTGTTAATGACCTCAATTTGTCCGTTAGCCTGGGGATGAGCAGGGGATGAACTGAAGTGCTTGATGCTGAGATCGTTGCAAAACTTGTTAAAGCGAGCGTTGTCGAATTGTTTGCCGTTGTTAGTAATCAGGGCATAGGGTATGTCGAACCGGTAAACTATGTTCTTCCATACGAAGTTCGTAATATTCTGCTCGGTTATCTTTGCCAGTGGCTCGACTTCGACCTATTTGGTGAAGTAATCTGTTGCAACAATTGCATAACTGACCTGACCTTTACCAGTGGGGAGGGATCCAATAAGGTCCAGGCCCCACTGGGCAAAAGGCCAGGGGCTAGATATGAGGGTGAGAAGTTTAGGAGGCCGGTGCGGTATGGTGGCGAAGCGCTGACACTTGTCACATTTTTTGACGAATTGCTTCATATCGGTCTCATATACCGAGGCTAAATGAGCTAGCGCGTCGACATTCAAATTTTCCGACATGGGGACCTAACGGACTACACACTCTTTGAACTGGCTAAGTAGTTCCTTCGCTTTGCCCAGGTAGCGCTCCATGCAGCTATCCTTTGCTTGGTACTCCTCATTGATTTGGTTGGACTATGAGCTGCGAATCACTGAGGATGAGGAGATGATTCACTCACATTCTTCTCGCAACTCTTAGTCTGGCGATTAGGACTTCATACTCTACTTCATTATTTGAGGCTCTAAAGTTGAACCGGAGCGTGTACTCGAACCTCAGGTCACCTAGGCCGACTAGGAGCATGCCAGCTCCGCAACCTTTGTTGTTGGAGAAGCCGTCGACGTAGAGGGTCCATTAGGCTCGGTCGTCGGCCCCAGGCCTATACGAGGTCAGTTTCGCAATAAAGTCGGCTACTGCTTGTCCTTTCATCGTCGTCCTAAGATCAAAACCAATGTCATACTCGCTAAGTTCCAGGGCCCATTTCATGAGTCGCCTTGAGATCTCAGAGTTGTGGAATACTTGCCTCAGAGGGAAGTTAGTCATCACTGTAACATGGTGTGCCTGGAAGTAAGGTCGCAGTCAACGAGCTGAGGTAACGAGTGCTAACGTTAGCTTCTCGATACATAGATATCGAGTTTCCGCCTCGGTTAGTGACTTACTGGTGTAATATACAAGGTGTTGCTGACCCTGTTCCTCCTTGAGAAGTACTGAGCTAACGGCTTTCTCGGACACTACTAGGTACATTATCAGCTTGTCACCAGGGAGTGGTTTGGCTAGTAGAGGTGTCGTACTAAGGAACTCATTGAGTTGGTCGAAGGCCAACTGACACTCTGATGTCCACTCGAACCTTTCCCTCTTCCTCAGTAGTTTGAAGAATGGGAGGCACTTATCGCTGGACCTTGAGACGAATCGATTTAGCATAGCTACGCGGCCGTTGAGGCGTTGGAGTTGCTTCAAATTCATAGGGGCTCCATCTGAAGTACTGCCCAGATCTTGTTTGGATTGGCCTTGATGCCTCGCTGGTTGACCATGAAGCCGAGGAACTTGCCCGAAGCAACGCCAAAGGCACATTTCTCCGGGTTTAGCTTCATGTTGTAGCGGCGAAAGACATCGAAGGCTTCGGTCAGGTCGGCTATATGTGAGTTGACCTGCTTGCTTTTGACCAACATGTCATCTACGTATACTTCCATGTTTCTGCCGATCTGTTTCATGAACATCATGTTCTCCATGTGCGGATACGTGACCCAAGTGTTCTTCAGGCCGAACGGCATGACCTTGTAGTAGTAGAGCCCCTAGTCGGTTACAAATGAGTTGTGCTCTTGATCCGTTACATGCATTTTGATTTGATTGTAGTCTAAGTAAGCGTCCATAAATGTAAGTATTTCGTGGCCAGTGGTGGCATCGACGAGCTGATCTATCTGAGGCAGAGAAAACCTATCCTTCAAACAGGCTTTGTCTAGGCTCGTGAAGTCAATGCAGACGCGCCACTTACCGTTAGCTTTTTTTTTTAACTAATACTGCATTAGAGAGCCACGTGGGGTAGTGAACTTCTTTTATAAAGTCAGCTCGTAAGAGCTTATCAACTTGTCTACCTATTACAAGGCTACGCTCAGCATCGACAAATCGACATTTTTGCTTTACAGGTCTAAAAGAGGGATATACATTAAGCCTATGAACTATAATGCTCGGGTCGATCCCTGGTATGTCTTCATGCAACCATGCAAAGACGTCGGCATTCGCTTTCAAGAAGGTGATGAGCTCTGCCCTAGTCTCTGCCCCCAACTTAGTGTTGATGCTGACTTACTTATCTGGACTCAGGAGTGGCACAAGCTCGACTTCCTTGACTAAGGTCCCGCGGGTCGGCTCGTCCGGTAGTGGAGCCTCAACCGTAATAGTTGCACAAATGGCAGTGCCTTTTAGTGCTGCAGCGTAGCACTCTCTTAACGTCTCATACTCGCCTCGGATGGTGGCCATCCTTGAAGCCGTCAGATACTTCATCATCTGGTGGTAAGTGGAGGGGATAGCCTTCAACTGATGTATGAAGGGTCGGCCTAATATTGTATTATAGGCCGAGGTTCTGTCAATCACCATAAATTCGACAATCGAAGTGACCTGATGCTCCCCTTCGCCGAGAGTGACCGGGAGTGAGCTACATCCTTCTACTGTTACCGACTCTCCAGCAAAACCTACCAGCGGTGTAGAGCTTGGCTTTAGCTGATCTCGCTCCCATCTAAGGGCTGAGTATACTGACAAAGAAAGAACATTGGTGGAAGCTCCTACATCTATGAGGACCCGCTTGACCATAACGTGATCAATCAGGGGGGCGATGACGAGGTCGTCATTATGAGGCAAGTGCACACCCTCGGTATCTTG